CTTTTGAATTAATTTACACATTTATAACGTTTAAATTAATATTTTTATATTAATTTAATATAAAATTTTATAAATTTACGCCATGTTTTAGCATCTTTCAGAGCATGTTTTAGTGTATTTTTATTTAGAAAAACCTTATTATTTTTCTAAATAAGATATATAATACAAGTCGACCCCCCTATAACACTGTTGATTATTCCGTTCTATATGAATTCCATGTTGTATGAGTCACTTAGATTTTACAAATACGTGAACTGTTCACAGCCCGGCACACGTATTTGTAAAATCTAAGTGACTCGTACAACATGGAATTCATATAGAACGGGAAAATCAACAGTGTTATAGGGGGGTCGACTGGTAATGGGTAAATCTATGATGAAAATTAATTATGAATGTTTGTTTTTAAAATTTTTCCATAATTTTTAAAAACTTCTCAGATATTTTCTGAATTTTACAATAGCCTACGGTATTAATTAAACTTTGTTAAAATTAATATTTCTCAATTATAATTTCTTCTATTATTTTTAAGTAAGATAATGTTAATTATAATAATAATAATAACATTTTAGACATGGAAATTATTATCATCTTTTGTACAGATGTTATTTGTAATGTCTTCTATAAGACTTAGTCGTACTGGCCGTCCTCCTCCATATTTCGATGCAAATGAACATGGTACTTGAAATTTATTCAACCTTTAAATTCCTGAAGAAATCTGTCAATAATTACTACGGTACGATATAAAGTTTCTTCAAGATGAAGTTCTAGATAGACTTCAACCAACCATTCAATCAAAGCATCTCTCTCTTCTCCTGTAATTTCCGTTTGTTTATTCAAATAATTTACTCTGATAGTATATTGAATCTCCAATTGTCTCAGATATTTATAAATATCTTCGTCATAATTACTAAGTTGTGGGTTTTCAATATCTTCATCAACTGTCAATTCTTTCATTTCAATAATAATAATAATAATAATAATAATAATAATAACAATATATTTTTAATTATAATTGTAAAAGTAAATTTTAAAAATAATTATATTAATAAATTTAATGTTATCATACGAATTTAAATAGTTGATCTTTATCAGTTTCTTATTTAAATTAGATCGTTCCGTTTCAGTCTACGCTGTTATGTTGGAGTTAATCTTCTCATTCTTTCTTAAATTATAGATTAGATCGTCTCTCTTTAAATTTGTCATAAAATTATTTAAAAATCCCGATATCCCGTAATTAGTTTGTTATAATCACTTAGTATTTGGAAAAGATGCTCGTGGATTTAAATTCTGATTAGATCATTTAAAAACTTATTGTTTTTACGAGTCTCGGTCTTTATTTAATGTTAGAATTTGACGATACCGTTTAGTTTTATTATAATTAGTAGTTTTTCTATCAATCTAAAACAAAATGTGATTTCAATTCAAAAATTTTTCCCAGAATGGAGTTACTTTTCCTGTTGTTATCGGGAAAAGTATGATTTACAGGGGCAAGACAATAATTTGAGATCGAGCGCATAAGCTATATTTTAAATTAAATAAGTTAAAAAATATGATTAAAAACAGCAGCTTGGCATCGTGAAGACGTCACTATAATTTTTGCACGTTTTTAATTAAATGTTAGCAATCGTGGATGAAGGAGTAATGCCTGATTGTCCAAATAAAGTTGGAAGTTGTATTTAAAAATATATAGGCCTGTTTAAATTTGTGTTTGAATTAACAGAAATTTTTATAAATTAAACATTGAATGAATAAATAATTCATATATTTATTTTTTAAATATTTTTTTAAATATTTTATAAGTCATGTAACAGTTTTTTCTTCATTAAAGATGTTTATTTTCTTCTTTTGATACGTCTAACAGCATCTAAACAGAGAAAAATGAGTAGTGCTTATCAAAATGATAAAAGCTTATGCTTCAATATCGCAGAAAGAAAATTCGTTCGAAAATTCTGATGTATAAATAAGTAGGCCTATATTTTATTTATTTTTTTATTCACTTTTTTGACATTATAAAATGTACGCTATTCATAAGTAATGTTCTTAAATAAATTGTTTGTTTTTTTAATATTAAAAATGTTTTTAAATTAATTATTTGATTTTTAACTAATTTATAAATTTTTTCCAAATAAAATATTTCTCTGCAAACAAATTCAGGTTTGCAGAGAAATATTTTATTTGGAAAAAATTTGAAATGTATTGGAATTTTTGTAAATATAAACTCTTTTGAATTAATTTACACATTTATAACGTTTAAATTAATATTTTTATATTAATTTAATATAAAATTTTATAAATTTACGCCATGTTTTAGCATCTTTCAGAGCATGTTTTAGTGTATTTTTATTTAGAAAAACCTTATTATTTTTCTAAATAAGATATATAATACAAGTCGACCCCCCTATAACACTGTTGATTATTCCGTTCTATATGAATTCCATGTTGTATGAGTCACTTAGATTTTACAAATACGTGAACTGTTCACAGCCCGGCACACGTATTTGTAAAATCTAAGTGACTCGTACAACATGGAATTCATATAAAACGGAATNGTCATGTTCTCTCAACGTTGTTCTGTTTAAAGATTTACTCTATCGAACTGTTCTTAAACGTGGCCCACGGACACAAGATTGGAGTGAGAGTTTTTGAGCTGAAATTTGAAAAAATTGTAGACGTAGGCTATAAATTCCCACTCTCGTCCGTCCGTGTGTCTGTCTCTTTCCTCCCTTAATCTCGAGAACGGAGTTAGATATATGGAAATATTTGGATATATATATACTTCCGGTTTGTATAGGAAGTCACGATATTTCAATTCAAAATTTTCCCTGAGAGGAGTTTAGATAATCGGCACGACTCTATTGCTAGCAGGAAAAGTATGATGTACAGGAGCAAGCCACTACTAATTTGAGGTAGTGAGCATATATTTTAAAATAAATTTAAAATATGATTAAAAATTGCAGCTCAGCATTGTGACGATGTCACAATAAAATAATTAAAAAATATTTTTTTTAACATAAACAGATAAATGTTTAAATAAAATCATATACGAATTTAAATTTTATAAATTATTCTTAAAGAAATTATATTTTTTTAAATATTTTATTTATTAATTTATTAATCTATTAAGTAATAAAGGTAGATTTTGGCAGACACTTCAAATTATCTCTATGTACTCGCACACCTCTTTACAAAAAGTTATAAGAATCGCTACTCTATTGCATTGTATGGCGTACAGAATATTTTATTTAAGAATTGTCCTGATGACTGAATGGAAAAAAAATTTGAAATTTGGAAAAATGTATACAGTCTTTTAAAAAATTTTAATGGTATTTTGAGGTTTTATAATGCATTAACAAGAAAATTTAATGAATATTATTATATAACCGTAAAATTCGGTATGCATTAAGTTATATAATAGTTTTTCATTCTATTCGTTTCATCTATCATCCTTCTTGCTAATTAAATATTTACATAATTCATTTTATATAATTATCAATTATTTTTCTTTGTAGTAATAATGTGTTTTTAAGTGTAAAATAATATTTGACGTATTAAAATTATTCTTAAAGAAAAAATTGCATTTTATTTCAATGAAAAAGGAGATAACTTACATAACAAATGTAATTATTGCCATTTTTATAATTATATTATATAATATATTAATGTAAATAAAAAATATCTAGTATATTTGAGTCTACATTAATTTTACAATACATTAACGTAAAGAAATGTTTAAATTTCTGTAAGTTAATGCCTTGTAAAATTAACTTACCAAAGTTTCGATTCTAAGCGTAAAATTTATGAGGAAAAATCTCCTCAGTTTGTTTTTAACTTTCGAAAATTATTCTCCAAATTACACAAATAAAAACGGGTAGAGAGGAGGAAACATATCTTGCAAAAAATCTCTACTACCTAGAAAACATTATCGTGACCATCTAGAACTTGTAAATCACTTTTTATTTTGTTACTGTTGAAGATTTTCTTCTCCATTCTGCGATGAGAAGCTGATGTTTTGATTTTTTTTTTAACGTATATCTTGATAATTCGTCTCGGCGCATGTCGACTGAATCCGGGTCAAGGTTATTGCAAGGTCTTTGATGCAGTCTTTTGACCCGCATCGTAACATATTGTAACTTTTGAGTGTGTGCCTTTTATTGATTAATTAAGCAGAGACCAGATATTAAAGGAAATTTATTGGATAATACCTTTATTTACAAAAAGAAGGGAAGAACATACATGCCAAGAAGATTTATTATTAGAATAACAACAACACTAACTAATCAACCTTCTTAAAATATTAACCTCGCTTAAGTAGACATAATTTAAGACGTATTAAACGAAAATTAGTCCCGAATTTGTCTATAAATCAGTAAAGGATTTTATTATCTAATTATTTATGTATTAATTCTTTTATTATCATATAAATAAATTTATGTAATAAAATCATAATTCATTCTTAAATTAACTAAATAGAAATTAAGTTTAAAAATATTTTAAATAAATTTTCAATCTTCTAAAATAAAATAAAAATACTTTAATAAACATTACGGTTCAGTTAAGTGAACCGCATTATCTAAACTGGGTTATGTAATTTAAGAATTTATACGTAAACGTAAACTCTATTTAAATAACGAGACATTGTATAAAAGATATATATATATATATATAACGCGAAGATTTTCGTTTCACAAAAGAATATAAAAATAGAAAAATTTGTTATAACCTTTTATCTTGGCGAAATAAATTTGATATGGCGAAACTATCTTAAATATATAAATATTTTAAGATTTTATGTATAAATTTCACAGCTATTGTGTGTTTTGTTATATTTAGTTCAGGTTCAAGAGATTGGTTTTCTTAGGATATTAATCATAACATTCATATAAAGAATAAAAGTAATAAAAATAAGTAAAATTTAACGTGTTACACATTGATTATAACTGCTATGTAGACGTAGAAAATTGCAATAAAATTATTAGAATTTTTAAAAAAAATTCTATCATTAAGTCTTGTTTAACAAGAAAAAAATTTTAAATGTATCATTAAATAAACAAAAAATTAATTGGATTTTTATGTTAAGAAACCAAATTATACATACTTACCGCAATCACCCTACAGAGAACTGGAATTAATAGATAAAGGCTATTATTACCTCAATTCTTTATCATCATTATCATCATCATCAACATACTTTTTATAATTTAATTCTGGTTCGTTTATTTAATTATATTTAAAAATTTTGCCTTAATTATGTTAATGAAAATAATAATTTGAATTTTTCTTTTTAATTAAAAAAAATAATTATAATAATAATAATCATAGTATAAAACCCGCAAGTCAGAATAAAATAAGCTTAATTTAGAATTTTTAAGTAACTCTTAAAGGATAGTTTCGTGTTAAATAAATCTCTCTTTTCCTTTATTATATAAAAATATATGTAATTACGAATAATGCAATAAAAATGATTAAAAAATTAATTAATTTTTAAATAATTCTTTAAAAAAATTCAAATTTTTTACTGAATAAGATAAGATAAAATTTTATATTTTTAATTAGAAAATTTCTAATTATTTATCTACAGAAAAATAAAAATCTGCAACTTTTTTACATCTTATAATACTAATTTATTTAATAATTATTAAGAAATTTTAAATAATTTTTAGACTTTAATTGGAGCCTTTAAGTTTCCAAGCTTTATTATATACGAAGTGCCGGTTTGTACCGGTTTGATTTTTGAAGTTAAAAAAATGGTTAAAAAATTGCAGCCCGGCATTGTGACGACGTCATCACAATAAATAATTATTCGTTATTAGTTAGATTATTAATTTTTTTTTTTCATTTTCTAGATTGGTTATTAGTTGACATGTCAGCAAATACTTTCATGCAATTTGCAGATGTAAGCAAATATTGTCAAGCTTCTCAGACAATAATAAATAGCATAAGTTAGAAATAAATATCGGTCAGTTTGGTCGATGTAGTAGTAAATGTAGTGTTGACTTTACGAAAATATTCTGTTGCCACTATTGACATTATACGTATATATATTAGAATATTTACAGTCATTTTGGGACACATTTTCCGGAAAGTAGTAAAGTCGTAACGAAAATATTCGAAAACACTAGCTTATTTTCATTATTTTCCTCTTTTAAAACAGTAAATATGTAGGTCCACTACTATAAATTTCAGTTTTTTACTGAAGAAAATAAAATTTGTTTTTCAAATTTTAAATTTAATAGTTGTTTGAAATATTTTAATTTAAAAAAAAAGTAAGTCGTTTCTTAATTTCCATATAAATCTGATAAAATTCGAATAAATAAATCATAATTTGATTGATTTATTATTTAAATTTTTAATTTAATAATCATTTTCATAATGAACAAAGTGTATTACCAAATATGGAAATTTTTCATAAATTTAGAAAAAGAAGCGTTGAAAAACAAAACTGATTGGTTAATTTAAATAATAGTAAATAACTTATCCAATCAGAGTTTAAGATTTTAAATATATTAAAAATCTTAGTGACAAATCAGCGTCGTCTTAAGTTTCTTCAACAAATAAGAGGGCGTGGTTAATGTGCTTTTATTTTCGTTTTAGATAAAACTAACTTTTTGATTTGTCGACACTTTCAATCAACTTATATTTAGATTTATATGTCTGTAAATGATTTTTTTTAAGATTTAGTTTTTCAACTTCGGAAATTGACAAAGTTATAAAACCTATCCAAAGATTTTTGATTATTTCAGATATTAAGCGTATTTCTATGCTGAAAATCTCCGTTAAGGAACAAATGCTTCTAACAGATATAGCGGAACCTTCATTTCCTTTTGGAAAATACCGGAAACATCGAAGGCATTCTAGTTACAGACATCTACAGGTCGTTTCCAAAGAAACAAAGTACTAATCTTCTGCCAAAAGATCGTGTACATTATATTAATAACTGTAATGCTAACAATAATTAAGTATAATACATTCCCCCCCAAAAAACACTAAGAAAACACAACCGGTAGTGTCATAATAACGCGCCATATCCTATATAAGGTAATGCTTGATCTATAGATCAAAACGGATTATAGAAAAAAAAAAGGAATTTCTATACGACTGTTTCCCGAAATAGGAATAAGAAAACAATATTTCTCGCAATAAGGAATTAAGTCGTTTGTATTTAATCCTTTAAGGGAATCGAAACAGGGTTTTAAGTGATCGATTTCCAATTCCAGTGTTGCCAACATCTGCAACTCCGCATTGCAGATAGACCTTCGGACATTGCCGTTGTCATGGTTACGCGGGATGGGAGTTTTGCTTTTACAATTCGGACGTGTGGACTCTATGATCGCTGATCCTGTAAGGATATTCAGCTACTGCGCTCCCTCGATTTACAGCATTGAAGTTTCTTCTTGACGTTTATTTTAAACGTCGTACTGTACAGTACCTCTACAATATTTAAAATATTAAAAGCTCTTTTTCTTAATTTTTTACTATCTATGCAAATTCTATACATAAATAAATTATATATATATATA